ACTGGGTTAGCCCGCTCCATCAAGTGTGGACTTGGACAAGTGGCTCAGACTCTCTACACTTCTGGGTTGCTCCCTTCATAAAGACTGAACGTCGTGGTTCCTTGGAAGCGGTTAGGAAGATTACGGGTTAGTCTCTCGGGTCTCTCGGGACGGACGCCTGCACCCACTCCGGCCACACGGTGGCGCCAGAGGTCGTGCCCGGCACCGTCGCGCGCCGCCTGGCGCCGGGCGCACCCCAACCCCTTCCCGGCTGGGAATGAGCCGCTGGGGGAGCTGGTGTCCGCAGTGTTCTGACTCGCCCGGGGGCGCGGCCGTGCGGAGAAGAAGTGCAGTTCCGTCGGCCACACCCCTAGGATTCAAACTGCAGGATCCGAGCCTCTCAACCTGGCGGGCCCTCAGAACTAGCGGGGCCTTCTTAGATCCCCACAGACACACTTGTTCCACTTTACAGGTGGGGTCACAGAGCCCCAGCTGGTGCGCGCCAGCCGGAGAGGAGCCCTCCGACTCCTGCGTCCCCTCGGGATTCTTGATGCCTCGGAATCCCACTGGGTTAGGGCTGGGGTCCACCACTCTGCCTCCCGCCAGCACTCCCACCTCCTGGTGCACAAGAGGCCACCCCCCAAGTTCCTGTGGCGCATCTGTGGGACCGCTTTTAGTGCAATGAGGGGATAAGGGCCCCTGTCCACCAGCCTTTGGGAGTTCTCGGAAGGATATCGACATGCAGGCCCTTGCGTCTCGCCCGGGATTGGCGAGAACGTAAGGAGGGGACCTGCGGTGATCTCCAGTCTGGGTCCCAAGACCCTCTGCACACCCTCAGGCTGTCCTTCGCGCCCACCGAAAACTCGATGTCAGCCTCAGGAACAGGAGGCACTCCAGCTCCTTCCCTCCTGTGTTGTTACCACTCTCACTGTCTCCCTCCCTCATACTGGCCCTTTTCCTTACTTGGGGGATTTGATAATTAGAAAGCTATTTGAAAATACCCTTTAATGCTGAATTTGTTCACCTTGACGCCTGAATGGAGAGAGACTCAGTGATATCTGCACAAGGCTAAGAACTTCTGTTTTTCCCATTGGAAGAAAGCTTAGATCTCAGCTCCCTCTGGCAGAGACAGCTGTGTGGCTTAAGGTTGAGTCCCTCCCTGTCCACTCTCTGGCTAAGAGAATAATTAAGCTTTAAATGCCTCTCTGGCTTTGCTTTCCTGAGAAGCAGCAGTGACTTGAGTGAAGGATGGGTACTGATGCCAGATGCCTTCTCTCTCCCATGGGCCTCCAGGCTGGCAGATCTTTGGGGCATCTCTACCCAGAATTGGGGTGGGGGTGAGTCAGGCCCTGCTGCTTCACATGCTTCTTTGCCCCCATGTGCTTCAGCTTTGGGGGCATTTCAGTGGCCATGTTTTTGTTTCAGGTCCCAGAGCACCAAGGCAGGAAGGAGCAGACTCATTAGATGCTTCCAATAGAAAGTTGGGCCTAGATCCAAAAACAATAGATGCAGGCGCTGGATGCAGAGGGAAAGGAATGCTACACTGTTGAGGGACTGCGAACTAGTACAACCTCTGTGGAAAACAGTATGGAAATTCCTTAAAGAACTAAAAGCCAGACCTATCATTTGATCCAGTAATCCCACTACTGGATATTTACCCAAATGAAAAGTCCTTTTATCAAATAGACACCTGCACTCGAATGTTTATTGCAGCACAATTCACTATGGCAAAGATGGGGAATTAACCCAAGTGCCCATAAATGGATTAACATGTAGTGTACATGTACTGTGTAAGCTGAGTAAGTACTCAGCTATAAAGGATGACTTAATGCCTTTTGCAACAATTTGGATGGAACTGTAGACCATTATCCTAATGAAGTATCCAAAGAACAGAAAAACAAGCACCGCCCGTACTTGCTATTAAACTGGAACTGACCACTGAGCACACATGTGCACAGAGGGAAGTAAAGCTCAGTGGAAATCAAGTAGGGGAGGGGGGAGGAGGAGGGCATGGGTAAAAACCTAGCCAACAGGTACAATAAACAGTATCTGGGTTAGGGGCACACTTAGAACCCTGACTCAAGCATAACAAAATTGATACATGTAAGCAAAACAGTTGTACCCCCATTATATATATATATATATTTTTTTGAGACAGAGCCTCAAGCTGTCCCCCTGGGTAGAGTGCCGTGGCTTCATAGCTCACAGTGACCTCCAACTCCTGTGCTCAAGTGAGTCTCCTGCCTCTGCCTCCCAAGTAGCTGGGACCATAGGCGCCCGCCACAACGCCTGGCTATTTTTTGGTTGCAGCCGTCGTTGTTTGGCGGGTCCGGGCTGGATTCGAATCCGCCACCTTAGGTGTATGTGGCTGGCGCCTAAGCCACTTCAGCCACAGGCGCCGAGCCTACCCCCATAATATTTAGAAATTAAAAATGTTGGGCCTAGGGGAGTCAGGGAGACCTGAAAGGCTCTTCTATGCCCCAGACCTAGAACAGCTAGGCCGAGGCCCAGAGAGGGGACAGGGCTTGCTCAACTCAGAGGTCATAGAGCTAGGGCTTGGACTCAGGGCTCTTTTCTTCCTCTGGCTGCAAAGGAGAGCTGGAAATCTGGTTTGTCCTCTACTCTTTTTGCATTGTGGGACTTGCCATCTTAAAGAAACCCATTAAAGAAGTGAGATTAGTGCCCAGCTGCTCACCAGCTTCATGGTCTGGCTTTTTCTCAGTCCTGGAAACCTCTCCTCACCCAGTTCTTTCCCTAATCCAGGCAAATGTGGAAACAAACTCCAGCCTCAGAGGCTGGCTGTATGCCAAGTTCCACCAGCTGGTGAGGTATGTGTGTGCATCAGGGCTGGGATATGTCCGTAGGAGCCACCAGGAAGCTCATTCATTGACAGCTCAGCCAGGTCTCTCCGCTCCACCCAGCCTCAGCTTCCTGCCAGGGTCAGCACTTTGTGTTCACGTGACTCCCTATAGGAGACAGTAATATTCTAATCTTTGGGGACTGTCTTAGCAGTTTTGAGGGACGTCCTGAAGAAAATAAGGGGCATGTTTTAAAGATATACTTATTTGCGTGGAGCTGGCTTTCTCATTTTTGGGTTTTTCCTACCCATAACTTGGCTTGCATGCAGCTTTGGTCTGCCATGACCCTAATTTAATTCATGGCATCTTTATTTTTTCAGTTTCACTGGTAAATTCTCTCCACATTTCTTATCTCAAATTCCTAGCACATGGCCCACCTGTGGATTGGTGCCGTGTGATCAGGTGTCCATTCTCGTCCTGTCAGCCGTGTGCTGATGGCCACCTGAGCAGCACAGTCCACAGAGTTGGAGGTATTTCTGGGGCTTGAGTTTCCAAGCCAGGGATTGGGATTCAGAAAATGATTGTCTCATTCCCAATTAAGAATCGGGTGTGAATCACTTTGGATAAAGCTACTACACAAAGAAAAAGTTTATTGTCTCATTAGTCCGTATCTCTCAGAGAAGTGAGGGGAACCACATTGAGACTGTTCCCAGTGCAAGCAGGACCTCCGGGACACTGCTGCAGAAACTGGCCCACCCAGACGTGTCTGTCTGTCGCAGAGCTGCCACCGCCCCACTCCTGCCTCCGCAGTCTTGACAGATGGAGCTGCCACGGTTTCAGGGATGCTAAGCTTGGCGTCTGGGTTGGTCCTTCCCATATGGACCCTGTGAAATTGCTATTCAGGGGAACCATGGTATAGAGGCAAAACACAGAACCAAATTAGCGTTTCTAAGCCCCGGCCTGGGACATTTCCCTGGAACATTTGGGCTTGTCACACATTCCAAAGGAGCAGCAGCACAGCTGCAGCCACAGCTGCCAGGGATAGGCTGGGACGGGCCCCAGTGGGGGAGGACAGAGGCTGAGGGCTTCCTAGGGCCCTGAGTGAGCTCACCCTCACCTCCACTGTCTGACTTTATTCATCCAAGGCTGCTTGGCCAAGAGACCAGGTAGTACAAGGGGGTCTCTCCCAGAACAGGCCTGGGACACCTAGCAGAGGTAGGGGAGGGGAGAGCTTCAGGCCTAGCCTGACCCCCCAGAAACCAGGGGTAGCACATGGAGTGCTGAAACGCCAGAAGTTTAAGAAAGTGTGTGTTGGCTCGGCGCCTATAGCTCAACCGGCTAAGGCGCCAGCCACGTACACCTAAGGTGGTGGGTTCGAATCCCCAGCCCGGACCCGCCAAACAACAATGACGGCTGCAACCAAAAAATAGCCGGGCGTTGTGGCGGGCGCCTGTGGTCCCAGCTACTTGGGAGGCAGAGGCAGGAGACTCGCTTGAGCCCAGGAGTTGGAGGTTGCTGTGAGCTGTAATGCCACGGCACTCTACCCAGGGGGACAGCTTGAGGCTCTGTCTCAAAAAAAAAAAAAAGAAAGTGTGTGTGTGGGGGGGGAGAGATGGTGGTGGTAGTGGTACTTTGCTACTTAAAGGCTGAAAAATGCAAGGAAGTAAAGCTTGTTTCTCCATTTGTTCTTTGGCAATCCCATTAGAAAATTCCAGGAGGCATGCAGGATGATGTCATGTTTTACAACTGAGAAATTTCAACAATTCTATAAAATGGAGCCCCTGCCTGCCCTATGTTTCCCATGGAAGCTGCTTTATATTTACATGTTTAAAGCTGCATTTTATGTCACATTTAAATGAGGATCTAATACTCTCAAACACCTACCAAAAGTAGACTACAATGCATGAAGATCACATAAAATGAACTTGACTTCTCAGTATCACAAAGAACAAATATTTGGAATACAAAAAGTCCAGGGATGGATATTAGAAGTAGGAAAAGGTACAAAAGAAGTTTGCTTAAAAACACCAAATTTTTAAAAATTGGCTTGTCCCCCAAATCCAAATAATCGTGGTCTAGGCAACTATCAGAGTAAATGCTTCTTGTGCTCATTCCTTTAATAAGAATGAGCTCATGCAGATTTGTATGTCCAAGCGTGTGCAAGGGACATGCACAGCACACACACAAGGATATACGCCGCAGGGACAGACACAGCTGGGTTTTGGTGGTTCTAGGCACTTTGCATCCACTTTCTTAAGTCTGCTGCCTTCCCATGAGGTTGGACAAGTTACTTCTTTGGAGGCAGGACATTTTCTTCGAAGAAGCCCTGGTTGACAACATTGCCTGCTGGGAAGTATCTGGCCACTACAAAGGAGGACCCATCATTGGCAGATGCCTTCCCCACTCCCATCTTCTTCGTATTCTTCCATACCATGGCGGTGAAGTGTCCTGCAGGGGAGCAGAGGGAGAGGGAAGCAGGTGAGTTAGCAGAGCACTGACAAGGATGCTGTAGAGGATACTTCAAACCCTGCACCCCCCTGCCAGGCTCAAGGCAGTGTGATCTTCACAGACACCAATCCAGGGTGGGGTGACAAAACACACTGCCTGTATGACTTCAAAAGCAGGTCCTTTCAATCAGCCACATAGACCTTACCCACCTCACCACATTCCGAGGGTCTCCCACTGATCAAGATAAAACCCAGTGACCCCAACAATTAGGGTGCCAATCTACCTGGCACCTGCCTCCAAACTGCACTCTCCAAAGTCCCTAATGTTCTGTGTGATCCTCTCCAGTGGTGTCTTTCCTTCACTTTCTTTGACACCCCAGGAACATTTGCTATAGTCGACCCCTCTCCTCTTCCAGTTTCCATGATGCCACAGCCTCTTGGCCTTTCTCCTGTCTCACTGCCTCCTCCTCCTCCACCTCCCTTGTATATGCTGAAAGATCTGAATTTCCCAAGGCTCCATCCTGGGCTCTCCTTTCTTTTCTCTCTGCACTCTCTTTAGTTTAGATGATTTCATCTTTCCCTGGCTCCTAAATTTATTTCTTCAGCTCCAATCTCTGCTATGTGTTCCAGACACAACGACTTACTGGACATTTCCACTTGGCTGACTCACAGGCACCTCAATCTAACTGATCCAAACCTCACTCTAAGTTTTGGTCCACCCGAATTCACTCCTCTCCTTTGCATCACCCACACCTCTGTGTGCACTGCGGGAGTGAGTCTTCCTTCCTCCCCTTCAATCCTGAAGAATCCAACTCTAAAATACAAATCTCAAGTTACTCACTTCCCAAACTTTGGTCCCAACCACAAACACTTCTCACTTAGACCACTGCAGTAGCCTTCGGACTGGTTCTATGGAACCCACCTTGGCCCCCTCCAGTCTCCTTTCATTTACATATTCAGAGTGATCATTTTGAGACATTAATCACCTCCAACTATTTCCCTGCTTAAAACTCTTCTACTCACTTCCAAGCACCTGGAGTGAAAGTGAAAGCTTCAGCCCAGTGACCACCTCTCCATTCATTGAACATACCAGGTTATTTCCCACATGCTGACCAATGTGTGGGACATTCCTGATGACCAACAGCTTCTTGGTCCCTTAGGTCTTAGCCAAAATATCACTTGTTCAAAGAAGGCTATTGCAATCACCCTTTTATTTACTGAACACCTCCCTCCCAAGACGTTCTTACCACACCCTGTTTTTTCTTTTCAGAGCATTTTGCAATGATAAATTTGTTGATTACTTGATTATTGTTTGCACCTGGCTATAAGGCCCACGTATGCAGTTTGTTTTATTCATCAAAATACCCCCAGTACCTTGGCCATAGCCTCACACACGGAAAGTGTAAAACAAAAGTTGAATGAATAAATGGAATAAATGAAGAAAATCACATGGACTCAGGCTATTCTTTTGCTGGAAGTGTAGGCCTTCTATATTTTCAACACTTTGAGACCTTGACAAATTCTAGCTTTGTTCAAGTCCCTCTGCTCTGAGCCAAAAGGCCCAGTTCCCTTGAAAGTTGCTGCTCCAGCCTCCAGACATTTCTGTGGCTTGTGGAGCTTCGTGGCACCAATCCTCCCCTTTTTAGGCTGCCTTGCTCCTTTGCTCCCTGGTCCTTTTAACTACTAAGATAGCTCAGCTTACAGCTTTCCTCCCATTTGGGGTCAAAGAGTTGATGCTATAATGTATTCTTCATTCAATGATCAAAAATTCTTCTCATCTCCTGGTGTAGCGGTCAGGTGTCCCTCCCTTCCATCTTTATTGTTTAGCACTGATAGATGTTAATGGGATTCTTACTTCACATCACAGGTTGGCATCCACTTGCTAAAGCAAACCTCAAGAGATTATGTTTCCACCTAAATGCCTGGCTTGCAATTGGACAAGCTATGTGAGGGTGGGCACCACTTGTTTTAGTGACCACATCCATGGTGTCCAGCACTCAGCTTGGCATTTAGTAGATGCTCAGTAAATATCTGATGAATACGGAAGAAACAGAGGGAGGGAGGAAAAGCATGATCAGGGCAGCCAAGCTTCCCACAGGGGGGTTGAGAAAGGAGGGCAACCACTTCACATGCATTAGGATGGCTATCATAAAAAAGGAAAAATAATAGAAACTAAGTTATGGCAAGAATGTGGAGAAATTGAACTTCTGTACATTGCTGATAGGAATGGAAAATGGTGCAGCTGCTGTGGAAGGTAACATTCCTCAAAAATCCAGCATAGAGTTGCCATATGAATCCGTTTCCGAGGATAGACCCCAAAGTACTGAAAGCAGGGACTCAGATATTTACACACTCGTGTTCATGGCAGAGAGATTAAACAACTGGCACAAAGGCGAGTATCAACAAATGGATAAACAAAATGGAGCTTGTGTGTATATATACACATAGTGGATTATTAGACAGCTTTAAATATAAATATAATTCGTATTATGCTATAATACGAATAAACCTTGAAAATGTTATACGAAGTGAAATAATCCAGACACATATAATGGATAAACATTATATGATCCCATTTACCTGAGGTACCTGGTGTGGTCAAGACCCACAGGAGAAGTAGTTACCAGAGGCCACGGTTGGAGATGGAGGAGGGAGGGAAGCTGTTGTTTAAGGGGCATGGAGTTTAAATTTATAAAAATGTGGATGTCTAGGAATGGTAATGTTTTCCTTCATGTAAGTATTTTTCTTCATTCAGAGATGCAAAATTTTTAAATGCCAAATATTTTCATGTCACTTCCATGTAGTAATCTAGAAAATATTCAAAGAGATTTTGAAAACCAAGTGTATTTAACCAGCCTCAAACTGTGCAACACGATGTATAATAAAGAATTGGAAACAGAAAAAAAAAAATAAATAAATAAAAATAAATTTATAAAAATGAAAAAGTTCTGGAGATGGATGGTACTCAGGACCACACAGCAACGTGAATGTATTTAATGCCACTGAGCTATATACTCAAAAATGGCTAAAGGGGTAAACTTGATGCTCATGTAGTAGTCTACTACAACACTGAACAGAGAGAGAGAAACAAACAGGCAGACGCTGGTGTCCACAGCCTTCTAATCCTTTGAACAAAGGTGGTCCTTCCCACGGCATCTTGCATGTAGTAAGAATTAAAAAGAGGTTCATTGATTGCATTCTGTTTTTCTCTCTACAGTTGAACTCCATTTTTATAATTTTTAAATTTAGGTATAATTTATGTCTTTGTCTATATCCACAAAGGATTTGAGGTTCCTAAATTCTTTAGGAAAATAACCAAATATAAACACTCATCCATATAGCTGATGTGATACAATTGAAGCAAAAATTAAAAAAAAATGACCATGGCTTGGTGCCCATAGCACAGTGGTTATGGCGTCAGCCATGTACACGGAGGGTGGTGGGTTCGAACCCGGCCCGGGCCAGCTAAACAACAATGACACCTGCAACAAGAAAATAGCCAGGTGTTGCTGCAGGTGCCTGTAGACCTAGCTAGTTGGGAGGTTGAGGCAAGAGAAGCACTTAAGCCCAAGTGTGAGGTTGCTGTGTGCTGTGACGCCACAGCACTCTACCAAGGGTGGCATAGCGAGACTCTGTCTCAAAAAAAAAAACCAAAACCCTAAGTACAATTATGCTTCTTTACCACTTATCCTTAAACCACCAGGCTCGGTGACTCATGCCTAAAATCCTAGCACTCTGGGAGGCCAAGGCAGTTGGATGGCCTGAGCTCAGGAGTTTGAGACCAACCTGAGCAAGAGTGAGACCCCATCTGTACTAAAAATAGAAAAACTAGCTGGGCATGGTGGTAGGCACCAGTAGCCCCATCAACTTGGGAGGTTGAGGCCAGAGGATCACTTGAGGCCAAGAGTTTGAGGTTGCTGTGAGCTATGACACCACAGCACTGTACCCAAGGTGAAGTGACTAAGTGAAACTCTGTCTTAAGGAAAAAAACAACTTGTATTATCTGCTACTTCATAAACTCTGGTTTTCTGCTCCGAATAGGAGAGAAACCCTTCCTGCCAATTTGTTCAAAGACGTATAAGAGCACCTTGGCTTCTGATATTTTTGAGTCACATCTCAGGTTCTCAGCAGCTTTGCCAGGTGTCACTGCTTCCAGAGGCGTCTCCTTACTCAGGCTCAAGCCCTTTCTCACACAAGCCTCTCTCAAGAGATCACATGCTTTGGCCTTTGACCCACCCATTCTATCTCCCAGAAAAGGAAGAAGCTGCCATTTATCCACTGGTTGCCAAGAAAATGATTACAGACACAAAGCACACATCAGCAGAACAAAAGCCTGGGGCAGCTTTTTCCAGACAGATGAGGCTAAGCAGTCTTTCCTCTTACCAGAGAGGTTTCTGTCTGCACAGAGATAATTAAGTTATGGGTATTCAGAGATTAATTAAAGGACACACTTCCTTAGCAACCATCTGATACACACTGGTTTCTAACTTTTACCTACTAACAAAAGTCTTTTTTTCTTTTTCTGAAGAGGATCACATCCTCTTCCCTGCTATGGACTCAAAATTTCTAGACTATACCTTTGAAAAACGCATTAAAGTTATAGTCTATCCTTGCAAGGGAATAATGTGCAACAGCAAGAAAGAATGAATGAACTCCTCCCACATTGATACGGACAATCTCTGACAGTGCAAAACAGATCATATTCTGTGACACTGAAGTGTAAAAAAGGGCAA